TGATGTCTAATATTTTCAACAATCGATTTCCCATTTTTTGTAGTATGATTCCAGCAGAAGATCTATAGTCATTCCCTTTGTAATAATGTACATTAGAAGTCGCGGACATCAGATGCTTTCTGAGAACTCGAGATTTGAATAGTTTTGCAGGACTTTCATGGGTACTTGTATGTTCTGCATTCAACAAACGCAGTCTATGCATATGCAGCAATTCCTCCATTTTAATCAGTTGCTCTCTCATCTCATTCAGTTTTTTCCACAGTTCGCGTTGTAACTCGGCTACCACATTTTTGAAAACAGTTGACGCTTGAGTTGCTGAACTTGTTGTGGAGGTTTTCATTGGATGAGATTGAGTATTTTGAAAGGTTGAAAGACACATTGACTCCATTTTACTAGACAGATTGGGAGAATTATAAGAATTCTGAGTAACATAAGTATTCGAACTTCTGTAAACCGTCTTGATGTGTCCAACTTTACCACATTTGTGACACTTAGCACCCCGAAAACGGCAAGTGCTTCGTAGATGTAACTTTCCACAGGAAAAACACGGTTTAATGTTTTTGATCTCTCGCTGCATTCTATTACCTGTGGACGACAGTTTGGATTGCTTTCCATGAACACTTTTATTTTAGACTTTGGACAGCATGACATCAGATACTGACGTAGTGGGAGCAGAGTATTCATTATTGACATCTTCATATGTAATACATACATCTTTAGCAGTTTGAAAAGTACAAGAAGGAATCTGAATTAACTCTTTCTCTAATTTAGGAATATTGATTCCAGAAATTAGACGATCACGTAGTTGAGTATGCAGCTGATCTCCAAAGTTACACTTTGAAGCTTGTATTTGGAGTTGCAGAATGAAGTCTCGAATCTTCTGGTTGGGAGAACGTACCAGTTTGTTGAAGTGAGCCCTCTCTCTCGTCTCAAAGGTAGTTATATGGAAGTGATGTATCAGAAGTTCACGGATCTTGTCATATGGCAGAGAAATGGGTTTATCTGGAAACGCCAGATTCTTCACTAGGCTATATGCATCTAGCCCAATAGCAGTGATGAAATCAGCAGGTATTTTGTCATCCCGAACATTCTTGGAAATGCACCACGCATCGAAGCATTCATGATAATCAGCAATTTCACGCGGTGAACCAATTGTAGGAAATTTTCCAAGGTTATTTAGTTCCATCGCGACGCCAATTTGTTGTAACTATTTGTAATCAAAGTATTAGCATTTCGAGATGACCGAATTTCAACAATCCAACCAAAACAGAGAGAGGGCGGAATTCAGGAATTTGTATTTAGAGGGATTGTATATTCAATTCGGTGACTCTAAAGAATAGCGGCCCAAACCGAAATGACCTTCGAACAAAAAAGTGACCTTGAGCAAGGAATCAGCTGGCTGTATCATTTTCGGAAGTAATCATGGATGTTTCCGATTACTGTTTGGATAACGGACTCATAGCTTTGTCGAAAATTTGCCAGTGCGGAGGAGTTATGCATATACAAATATAAGCAGAGGCCATTGACGGCTTTGTATACAAATGTATTGAGTGCCGAAGGAGGAAATCGGTTACAGATGGTTCGTCGTTGTTTTTTAGTTTACAGATCCCTTAGGAACTTTCCTCTCAAGGTCTAAACTACCTTTGGCGAAAATTTCAATGATATGTAACTTCTGGGTCCTGAAAAGAGCAGTCACAGCTACAGCTTATAAAACAGAAAATTCAGAGGTGTCAGCAGTGCAATGGTACAACTACTGCAGAGGTGTTTCCTCCTGGAAAATGAACACCCTCACTCAAGTTCTCGAGGGAGTCGGCAGCATAGTCCATATTCATGAGACTGCACTTATAAAAAGGAAATACAACCGCGGGAGATTACAAGCAAACCAGCAGTGGATACTGGGTATCTACGACATGACACCGCGCAAAGGGTATATGGAAGCGATTCCCAATCGCAGTGCAGCAGTATTAGTGCCTATTAATAAGCGTTTGGTGTTGCCGGGGACGACCATTCATACGGATGAATGGAGCGGATACCGTCAATTATCGAATCATGGGTACATTCATCATGTTGTTAATCATACGGACGGTTTCCGGAATCCTTTGGATGGAACCCACACCAATTCCAGTGAAAGATTTTGGAGTCGTCTAGAAAGACGTATAAGAGCGGTTAATGGATCGAGAAATCCCATGATTCACAGTTACCTGGATGAATTTATATACCGAAACTGGTTTCATATGACTATGAAGACTCCCATGAGAAACTGGGAGGTTTTTCGCAACATATACGCGAACGCTATTCTTTGTAACTGTTTATTATGATTGCATTACTTCTATATAAACCGATTTTTGCAATTATGCGCCTTTCTTTTTGAGCCATCTCATTGGCCGACGTTGTCCCTGTCAAGGTCATTTTTGCGTTAAAAGGTCGTTTCGGTTTGGGCCGCTATTCTTTAGAGTCACCTTCAATTCATATAAGAAACACATTAACAATCAACAGTAATTATTTAAACAATACAGAGATGGAAATAGTCAATCATCACAGCATGCATGTATACACACATACCCAATCACACAGAATCCAACACACATCCAACTTTTACTTTATTCAAACAATCACCCTCTCACTGACATTCTCTCACACGTCTGTCATCTCCCATTCACACGAACTCCTCTCATCTACAAGTCACCACATACCGTGAAGAAAGTGAGACTGCCTGCTTCTCACTGTCACGCTGCACGGGTATTCATTCATTAGTCCTGCATCCCCGTCACACCGACTGAGTCACAGTGAGATTCCCCAACTCCCGTCGATTCCAATGTCTGCAAAAATCAACTCTGTGAGTCTGTGATGTTCACGAGTGATGATATTGATGCGTGTTCGATGGTGATGTGAATCCGGTCTCCAGTATAGGGAAGTTGTGTTGTTGTTGAATTGAGTCAGGATGAGGTAATTATGTGCATGTATGTGCAGGTGGTGTATTTTGTATTCCCGTCATTGTGTGTGTGTGCTCGCATATTGTACATTTGATGTTGAACAGTTAGTTGGATTGTATGATATTCGTTTCGGAGCATGAATTAGAGCATGGTGAGTGACATTGTTTGCAGTGTTATCGATTCGAGTGTATGTGTATAGGCTGGTTGTCGTTAGTCGCTGGTGGCTGGCGATTCGTGTTGTCGGTGTTTTGTGTGATGCGATTATTTTGATTTGATTTGATTTCTTTTTGGTTTGAATGTCCTTGTGTGTATGTGTATTAGTGTGTTAGTGTGTCAGTGTGAATTGGTTGAGAGTAGTATTAGTCCCGTCGTATTCGTGTTGATTGACACACATATCTGTGAGCGTGTGCACTTTGATATGTCTGTTTGTCAACGGATTTAGAGAAACTGTGAAGGGAGTGGAAAAGACATTCTGTCTGTCTTCAAGGGTGCAGATCAGAAAATACTTTGGGCTATAGACCAGAATCATTACTTTCAGTGGTATCGGCACTATTGGAAGGCCTGATAAACGAACATACCAGGCAACATCTTGGCAATAGCGAGACAATCCACTGATCAAAGAGTTGTTTCAGATCCTGTGCAAGAAATCTTTAATTAGAACGGAATGACTTGACATCATGCTGGGAAGCACATATGTGATCTCTGATTTTCCAAAAGAATTTGACACCGTTCAGAGCGATCTTCTCTTTCACGAAACAAGTCAGAATGGATGGTCCGATTTTTTCATGGTTGAAGGAATTCATATACGGAAAGTGATTCTGTGCCGAAGATTATCGGGTTTGATCGTTCTGACGCAGTTCGTCACCAGGAGTTTCGCGGGTCTCATCATTGACCTGCCAAGCCCTCAAAGTAACTCTGCTCTTAATTATGTTGATGACAGATCAATAAAATGTTCAGTTGTCCCTGAAATGTTCCAAACAGACCTGAAACATCTGGATATTGAGCACTGGTAAATGACGTGTATTTTACTACAAAGGAATGCAGAGCGGTGCAACTGCATACCCAAAAACATGGTGAGTAAGTTACTTCCAGCATGGCTACAACCTGTCCCGTAAGCGCTAACCAGGTCTTTTTCGAGCGAGAAACAGGATGAATTACCTCAGTTGTGTGGCGAACACATATTCTGTAAGGCGTGCTCATCACCCCAGCTTTATCGAAGACTATATGAAACAATGAAATTCTACGTTCTGTTGTGGACTAAATGGCGAAGTTCGTTGAAACTTTAAAAACTTAGATTATCATTACTCCTCCATTACTTAAAAGTGAAGCTAAATTTCCGCAAAGTACCCGAAGTAAAGAGTAAAATCGAGTCATAGGCCTGCAGAATTAGCTATACGATGAAGGGATTTTTCGCACTTAGGTACCGTCGGCTTATGGGTGACCTAAATGTTGCTTACTGCGAAACATATAGTCAGAGTCATACAAACACAGAAGCTTAGCCATTAGGCTTCTGTAGACTCCATCGTACAACATAAATCAAGAACTTGAGTGCTCTCCAGTTTCAGTGCGCCCTTAGTCTGTTGTATCTAGACCTCATTACCAGCAGCATTTTAAGCTGAGATTGGATAATCATACAGTAACGAAAAGACTATGCCCAAACAGAATATGTCCTTGAAACACATGTCACACATTATTAATATATTTCATCTAAATTGAATCATTTACTTCTCAGTTACTAAAGTTCATTACGTCTGTTTGTTTCGAAGCCTTTCTTTTTGAGCGTCTATATTATTATCTTACTTTTCAACTACACCTCAGACAAATAGCTAAAAGATTAACTCCATTCACAGAAGCACCAATGTCTTAACACGCTGAATAACCTATCTCCACATCACTCCTTTAGGAGTCAACTAAAGCTAACATGACAGAGGGAATGTTTACCAAACACGAAAAAATTTCGCTTTGCAGCGAAGTTGTGAGCCTAAAAAATTCAATTTGGTTTATAGTTGTTGGTGAAAATTACCTTGGGTATTGAATAACTAAAGGTCATTTTAAGCGGGGTTTCAAATGCGTTCGCTTTCCTTCGTTGATCACCTTGTTTTTAAGGATATATGCACGACTAGTTCACGGAATCTGTGTCTGTATGACGTTGATAACGATGGGGTAATTTTTATGGATTTTTTATATATTATTTGATTATATTATTATATATTATATTGATTATATATATTATAAGCTTGAGAATGATGCATATGTATTGTAATCATTATTAACGGTTACGAGGAATACGAAAACAATGCTGAAGTTGCTTGTCTGACTGCATCACCTTTGTCTGTACCTACTTTTTCATGGCGATGAGATGTCTTCCTCACTTGTCGACATACTTTGCATTAACTAAGTATGATTGCTGATCTTGTACAATTAATAATAAGAGGTATCTACCGATGATATTGCAATATCCATTTTTATAATGGCTGTTTTCTGCAAATGAGAAAAATTAATGAAAGCTTATGTCAGAAGTTATGCACATGAATTATGAGACAAATTAGTGAGTAATACAAAATCACACACATCTAATAAAAATAAAATGTCAAATACTTTTTATCTGATCCAGAACTATAGTCCTGGAAGTTTAGACTACTGAATTCAAGGTACACGAAACCCGCCTAATTTCAAACTAGTCAATGATAAACTCTGTCAGCAGGTGGCCAAACAATTAACTTTCAGCCCTACAAGACATTTTTCGACACTAGCAATGAGTAATTCAGAAATTAATGCTTTACACCCAGGAGTTTCATCAAAAATTGATTAAAAAGTAGTAGTACGGTTAATCACCTTAACAGACGATGCCGGATAGAATCTGTGAAAATCGACAAATACTATTATTTGTGAATGCCATACGTTCAAAGTTGTTTTATTTTTCTTTGCATAAAAGCCATCCTAAACCATTCCCACCCATCGTATAACTGAAAAAAAAAACTTTTCTAGGTTGATCTCTCTGAAAAAGAGAGCAATGTTACATGTTGATTATAATGTAAGTCATGAGAATTATGAAAAGTACGTAATTAAACTGTCTTGACATACTCATACAAATACCTAGATTATTCAAAATGTATTCATTTATAAGGAAATCTTAGAACTAATTAAAAATCACCTGAAACAGATTTTTCACTTCGAACGATGGGATTTTCTCGCTTATTATGTTACTTACTTCAAGCATAGGTGGTACGCATCCAATCACATGACAGTGACTTGGAGTCGAGTGCTCACCCAGGCCAGTGAACCACGTCAGACTGTTGTTTGTTCTGCTTCAGGTTCCTATCCAAGTTTGTTGATCAAGATTATCATAATACAGGCTTCATATTCATATTAGTTATTTTTCAAGTGCATTCCTCAAATTTAACCAAACTTTTAAACTAAGTTAATCGTAGGTCTGTGATTTAAGAGCCTAATCTCTTTAGTTAGTTTGGGTTAATGTACGTGAGGTTTATATCTCAGCCGACCTAGTTAAGTTTTATTAATCTAGGAAATATACTGTTCTTTACTGCTTTGTCCATAATTGCGGACTCAAGCGTTACACTAAAATTCTAAGTAAAAAGGGGAGCTTCTTGCCAACAGAAATTTAATATCATAGTCCTTCCTGTTACAGCCTACATAGTGTAAATTGATATTCTGTTTTATAATTGAAGCTTCAAACGTCTGCGCTAACATATTAGCTGATTTCACGTCCACATCGTACATGGTTCTATGGTATATAAAGCATAAATTTTGTGTAGGTAGCTATCATAGTTGACTGTAGACAGTATTACTAATTTGTTAGGGTTAAAATTCCTGGTATTTCGTTTAAAAATACCCTAAAATTACAAATATGTGTGTAAATTTCATTTATGGAGTGTGATATTTGGCTATTTTGTGACATCGAAAAGACATAAAGTGTGCATATTCATCGAAAGTTTAAATTCATCTAAACTCTTATACCTTATTGAAAGATACAAACTCTGCTTTTAAATCTCCGTTTTTTCTTCAACTGTAGATAAGATTGCATCAGATTTGTAGAGTTTTGTCACTGTATTCAACTATTATTGGCTAACTCTTTGATGTGGCGTGTGTATTCTCCACAAATGCTGTTTTTTCTGTTTGTCTGGATTCAACATAGAACTTGGCACCAAAGTGCACCAGTTCGAGTTGCCACGTTCCAAATACCACACAAAGGTAGACAAGAAGATGATGAGTGAAGAGAACCAATACAGTCTGACAAGTATAAGAGTGAAACAGAATGGGTAATGGTAAACAGGAATATGAAAGATTACAGAGACTGAATACATCTCCGCTGGCCATTGACAACGATTTTGAGCCATGTCACCTATTGTCTCCAGCCATTGATTCTTAGAGTCAGTCCCGAGGGCCCCAACCCGGAAGTCTGAATCTCCCTATCTGACTGACTCAGTTTAACTGTCAAGGATTTCATGGATTGATGAGGCCATGTTTTTGTTTGGTCACCACTTACTCTTTTCCAACCTGCGCCTGTATCAGCTAGTAATGCCCGTCGTCGGGGGAGGCGATGGTTAGGCATGCGCAGTACCTGACCTAGCCATCCCAATCTATGTAACATTATAGCCTCGTCGATTGATTTTCTCTCTTTGCCCAACACTCTACGCCTAACGTCATTACTTACCTTGTGAAACCACCTAACGTGAGACAGAGATCGCAGACATCTATGATCGAAAGCAGTCAACCTTTTCATGTCTTCAACTCGTATTGGCCATGTTTCAGAGCCATAGAGAAGGACGGAGCGAACTGATGAGCAGTACACACGTCCCTTGGTTGATAACCGGATGTCACGCCTACGCCAGAGATGGTGTAAGGTAGCGAAAGCAGCTCGAGCTTTTTGGATCCGTGCTGAGATTTCATCGCCAATCAGTCCGTTGGTGATGATACAACTTCCCAAATAGGTGAAGTGGTCAACATGTGCTATCACTTCACTTCCTATCAGTAAGCTAGGAGTTGACGTAGTCCAGTCCTGTAGCAGCATCTTACATTTTTCAGGGGCGAATCGCATGCCAAACATACGAAGATTGTTGCTCAAGGTGTTCAGAAGACTCTGCATTTTGTCAGCATCCTCCCATAGCAGGACTATGTCATCTGCATATTCTATGTCCGTAAGACTATTCCCTGGTAACAAGTCGATTCCTAAGTCGTTACGTTCAGTTAAGGATACTTCCATTAGCATATCTATGATGAAGTTAAACAGAAATGGGAAAGTGGCCATCCCTGTCGGACATCACTGGTTGTTATCAATTCAGATGACAATTCCCCATATGTTTTTTATGGGTGACACACTCATGGTTCATATATATATATATATATATATATATATATATATATGCATTGTAACCGACGTCTACAGTGAAAAATTAATCAAGCATTAGGTATGATGAAATTTATTGCTAATAATAGTTTTCGTTCGGAGTAATAAACGTTGCATTTATTTCACTCAATGTTCTGAATATAAGTAAATAAAGTGAGGCGAATTAAATGTTCTGTCAAGGTGATTTCGCTCTTGGTTATATGAACAACACGACATAGCTGTGTTGTATGAAGGCTGATTATACTAACCAGACTTAAGTTGGTAAGCCATATATTTCAATTTTTGAAGAAACTCGCAACTCAGCATTTGGACTACATGTCAAGCTGATTGTTTTCGTTAATTACCCATTATTTACAGGACAACGAATTAATCATTGGTTATTGGGATTCTGGACCTTTATTAGAAAATGGAGAAGCAAATGCAGAAAACGCTGAAGGTTCTATTCATGTATTCAAATATAAAAAGGTGTGGAAGGTATCTTCTCATCTTGGCATGGTATGTGTTTATCGTTTATCGTAGATTAGAGGTTGAAACTTTAATGCATAGGTTTCATGTGTTACTGCAGGCAGCATCTATAAACCTGGTCAGGTATGTTGTGTGTGTGTGGTTTATTATATAAAGTTCAATGGATTCCAACCATATTTATTTTTTATTCTTACATTGTAGACTTGGATTATTGCTTTGTGTGCTGATTCACACTGTTACGCATTCGACGTATGTGCTACTGTTTCAGACTCGGTAATGAAAATTTTCTTTTGTTGTTGTCGATTTTATTATGATAAAACTCTTCTGAATAAAAACAAAGATTGTTGTTGTATTCATAAGAAATTCCTGTACGTTGAACAACCACTAGAAGTTAGAGCTATTGGAAAGTAAATTTTTTAATTTAATTTTTGATCCTAGCTTGATTCCACATATTATTTTGTGGTACAAGTATGGAATTTCCAGCATGTGATATCTGTAGCCCAAATTTTACAGGCTGACCAATTAACATCAGGTGTGCGTCGGCAGGGGATCAAACCTCGGACCGTGTGCATGGTCGTTGAGCGTCCTAACCACTGTGCCATCGACGCTTCATAAAACTGTGAACTTCGGTTACTTGACTTTCAGGCGGTGATTACAATTGTGATACAGTAAAATAATGACTTGTTATTAGAGGTGAGAAGAATTCGACTGGCTGAGATGTTTTGATTTGGATTTCGTGCTTATTGATACTCATCATGGTTGTGCCCATAGTTTCTTGTTGGTGATTCTTTCCGGTCCGGCCATCTGATTGATCTTCAGTAAAGAGCGAAGACAGTTGTTGATAAAGGTCTGCAACAGACTGCTGGAAATATTCTTTGTGACCCACCCGCCAAGTTTCCGATCCGTATAGAAGAACTAACTGACTTGACGTTGTTTGTATTGAGAATCCGACTGAATTTTGTTGTTGATGGTGAGTTGAGTGACGAAGATTTCCAGATTAGTTGGTTTCAGGTTGATGAATGCGTTTCTCGTTCGCCTTTCCGATTCTCGCTCGATTTGACATCCTCGTCAGTTCCTGCTGTAGTTGAAACAATGCTCCCTAGATGATAAGTGAATGAAGTAACCTCTTTCAAATCCCTCCTGTTGATGGTTGTTGCTGCTGTTGTTGTTGTTGGTTGGTTGGTTATTTTCATAACCTCCGTCTTGTCTATGTTCACCTGGAGTCCTGTCTTCACCAGCTGCTTCTTCGACCAGTTTGTCGGTCGGTTTTCGCTTGTAAGTCTTCGATTTTGTGACAGTGACATCAAACATAAATCATCCACGCGCGAAATCCAGAACTTCTAGGTTCTTCACGTCGATCGGTCGAGGATATCCCTGTCTTCTCGTTTCCCACTCACTGTCTGATGCATAATCCAGTCAGTCCACCACAATTAGGAATATCATCATGGGTGATAATAAGCACCCTTGTCTAACTCCTGTGTTTACTCTAAACGCCTCGTCGAGTTTTCCGTTGTTGATCACTTTGCATGTGCCGTTGTCGTACATCTGTCGATGAATATTCGGGGCAGTGTACGCCGTAGTACTCGAGTAGTTTCCAAATTACTTCGCGGTCAACGCTGTCTGTTCAAGGCCTTCTCAAAGTCTATAAAGTTGAGGTAGAGGTTTGATTGCCGCCATTCCATGCTTTGTTCGATACATATTTTCAATAGAACTTAAAAAGACCATTCTCAAATGAATTGTTTATGTGCATTGCAGTTTTTTGGATTGTAATTCCTAAAACCAATGCATTTCAGAAGTTATTCTCCTCTCGTCAATTTAAGTTGATCTGCCAGGCGTCCGAAATTATGATGGGAATATACGTTTTACTGTAGGTTTATAATGTATCTTGCTGTTGAATCATGACAAGCAAAGCTTCCTACTGACTGATGTGCGATTGTCACTTTACACAAGTCTAACAGTTATATCAAATTTGCATAGCATATACTATCAAATGTTAAGACCATTTTATATTGTTTACGAACAGTTGGCAGATTAGAAATAATGTTTAAAAAGGGTCATAAAGGGGATCCAAGTGTTGGTTCGGGGTGATTGGGCTGGTTACAGGACTTCATCACGAGCTGACATCGGTTAGAGAACCATTGGAAAGCCACCTGGGAGTACTGAACAGCTGTTTTGTCAGCTTAGTTTGTCACTCCCCAGTAATACGCACCCACCTGGATTCGAACCCAGGACCTCCCGGTTACAAGGCGGACTCGTAGAACATTAAGCCACTAGGAGCCGCTGGCCCAATAGCTCATGAATTTCAAATTCTGGTATTTGACAATGTAGTGCGTCTGGCATTAGCCAGTGTCAATGGTGGCGCATATTTGTCCTCACATCCGACCTACTGTACCCCACTGTGTCACGACTTCTCACTAGAACCTGAATGGAGCCAGTCCCTGGTGAGCATCAGATTAATAAAACAGATATCGACAGAATACTTCCGTAGCACCGAGACAAATTAAAACTTATTCTTATGAGTCTACAACTGAATATAAAAAGAACCTGTGTACTGTCAAAATTTGAAATCAACTATCTCAGTAATATCTGCGTATAATAGTATAAACAGATTGGAGAAACTCAATAATTGGGATAAGTTGAGACATTCAATAACTCAATGGACCATTAGACGGTTCGGTGAACAATTATTATTATTATTACTATTATTATTATTTCCTTTAGTCCCTAGAGGAACATAGGGCTTCAGCCGCGCGTCTCCATTGCGTTTGGTTCTCTGCTAAAGTTTCCACCTGGCCCCAGGTCTGCTCACATGCTTTCATCTCCTCTTCACCTGATCTCCTCCAAGTCACCCTTGGACGACCAACTCGCCGCTTCCCGTTCGGGTTCCACTCGAGTTATGGCCTGGCGTGTGATGTCACTCACTTGATGGTTTGCTTCCTCAGAGTATGGTCACAATCCAATCCACCCCCATTTCTTCCTCCATTTTTGTTGCACAATTGGTTCCTACTGGTTGGTTCGCTCATTGCCAGAGATCCCTGTTGCTGATCTTTTCTAGCGGCAGTCAAGCAAAATCTCGGCACCAGTCAATGAAATCCACAACAGTTGGTCTAAGCCACGTAGGAAGGTGTAGACTTCCAGGCTGGGGTCCTCGGGACGGTTAAAAAAAAAGGGTTGGAAACAATTGGTGACATGGCTCAAAATCGTTCTCAGTGGCTAGTGCAGATGCATCCACTCCTTGTGACTTATGATCTCCAATGAAACTGTTTTGTTCTTCGTTATTACTCCTTTGTCTCACACCTCTGTTTACTGTCTATTATGCTTTTCTTGTACTTTCTTCTCTTGCTTCGCGTGCTACACGGAGTGTGGCGACTTGAACTTCCGCACATTTGTGCAAAGTTCTATGTCGAAAACAGACAGACAGTCTTTTCTAGCCGGCCATCTGATCTTAAGTATTGAGCGAAGACAGCTAGCTGTTGATGAAGGTTTGTAGTTTGTTTGAGATACTCTGCTTAGAATCTCACAAAAGAAAAGCCACTACCAGTTGATTAGATAAAGACTTAAGTGATGTGTTCACTTTCATTGCGTTTATTTTTTAATGTCAAGTTCAGATCACCTGTATGTTTAGTTACTTATAACTCAGTTCTCCCGAACATATTCTGCTTGTGTCAGGATATATGTAGCACTGTGTAATGAAGTACTACCTAATCGCGTTGGCCAAAGTATGTGAAAGGGAATTCACGCCCTCAGATCACTCTATGGCTCTGAAACATGGCTAATGCGAGTTGAAGACATGAAAAGGTTGACTGCTTTCGATCATAGATGTCTGCGATCTCTGTCTCACGTTAGGTGGTTTAATAAGGTAAGTAATGCTGACGTTAGGCGTAGAGTGTTGGGCAAACAGGAAAAATCAATCAACGAGGCTATAAAGTTACATAGATTGGGATGGCTAGGTCACGTACTACGCATGCCTAACCATCGCCTCCCCCGACGACGGGCATTACTAGCTGATATAGGTTCAGGTTGAAAAAGAGTAAGTGGTGGCCAAACAAAAACATGGCCTCATCAATCCATGAAATCCTTGATAGTTAAACTGTATCAGTCAGATAGGGAGATTCAGACTTCCGGGTCGGGGCCCTCGGAACTGACTCTAAGAATCAATGGCTGGAGACAATAGGTGACATGGCTCAAAATCGTTGTCAATGGCCAGCGGAGATGTATTCAGTCTCTGTAATCTTTCATATTCCTGTTTACCATTACCCATTCTGTTTCACTCTTATACTTGTCAGACTGTATTGGTTCTCTTCACTCATCATCTTCTTGTCTACCTTTGTGTGGTATTTGGAACGTGGCAACTCGAACTGGTGCACTTTGGTGCCAAGTTCTATGTTGAATCCAGACAGATAGGCTGACTTATAGTCAAGTATTAAAGCTAATAAGTCTTATCTTCACATAACAAAATTTCACTTTAAAAAGAAGTTGTTTATATTCTTTTCTATTTTAACTTGTTTACATGTATGTCTATAGGAATGTATTCCAATAAAATCTGTACAAAAATTACAACAGTCTCGTGGTTCATTAAAATCTGGACATATTGCAAAGCCGAAAATTAATACGCTGAAAATGGTTCATCATCAAGAGTTAGCTTATAATGCTAAGGATGTATGCATATTTAATCAAGGTAAGGTAATTATAAGTGAGAGAGGGAAATTACATGAAAAGTTATATCTTTCTTATAGCAGAGTGATAATATTTATTCTTTAGAGTTCCAAGTAGAACCTGTGGCAGCACATCTCTGTCTCACTCAGTTCCATGCAATGTCTATTAGTCGGCAGTACGATTACCTGTCAGCTGTCCTCTCCTCTTCGCACTATCTATCCCGTTGGACGCCCAACTCCTACTCGGTTTGCACTCGATAGTGCGGCACGTGGTATTGTAACGACAGGCCAGGCAACAGATCGTTTATTGAGAAAATCAACAGATATTCATAGATTTTTATGTATATATTATTATTATTATTATTATTATTATTATTGGTTATTGTTAGCAGAGAAGCAACGTCTTCTGATTGGTTGTTTTCCTGCTGAAGATTATTCTGTCATCTCTATGTTTGCCGTCCGTTTCTTAGACAGTCCGTTGATATATATCTGCGAATTGTATCCGCCCACGCCAAGTTTGCAGTGGTTAGTTGGTGGGTTCCTCAAGGTTAGGCTTTGTTCTTATTATTGTTTTTCTCATGACGCTGATTTAGGACGGAAACATTGACGCCAATTGTTGTCTACAGTTTCATCTTGCAGACAGCTCTCACTATTGTATCACTCTGCAGTCTCCTCAGCGTATCTAATCCATCTCCACTTCCTTCTGAATATTTGTTGAGCAATAGGTTGTTGGTTGGTTGGTTTATCGACAAAGTCTCCTGCTATCTATCCAGCCTGTTCGACCATCTGATCTTCAGTATGAAGCGAAGGCTGTTGTTTATAAAAGTCTGCCGCCTGTTCGAAATGCTCTTGGTGACGCGACAAGTTTCTGGTCTGTATAAAAAAACTGGCTTAGCATTAGTGTTGAAAATCTGCATCTTCTCTTTTATGTGTAGTACAGTCGGCCTCCACACTTATGTCAGAGGAATGGACATTGATCTTGACTTTCCAATCCTGGCTTTGATGTCTTCATCCATGTCTCTTGTAGTTGAAACGACGCTGCTTAGAAAAGTGAAACTGGTGATCTCCAAACTCCTCCAGTAGATAATGATTTATGCTTGTTGTTGTTGTTGTCAGTTGTCTGTCTGTCTGTTTTCGACACAGAACTTTGCACTGATTTGCGGCAGTTCAAGAAGCCACACTCCATGTAGCACACAAACTAACAGAAGAATGTAGAAGAAATGCATAATAGACACAGTATACAGAGATGTGAGACAAAAGGAATAGTAATAACGAAGAACAACATAGTTTCATTGGAAATCATAGGTCACAAGGAGTGTATGCATCTGCGCTAGCCATTGAGAACGATTTGGAGCCATATCACCAATTGTCTCCAGCCTTCATTGGTTTTTACCGTCCCGAGGACCCCAACCAGTCAGTCAGTCAGGAAGTCTACATCTTCCTACGTGACTGGCTGGCTTAAACTAACTGTTGTGGATTTCATTGACAGATGTAGCGATGTTTTGGTTTGACCACCACTAGCTCCTTTCCAACCTGACCCTATGTCAGTCAGCTAACATCCCCCGTCGGTCGAGGAAGGCGATAGCTAGGCATGCATGTGCAACACATGTCCTAACCATCTCAGTCGGTGTAACTTCACAACTTCGTCGATTGATTTCCCCTCTTTACCTAGCACTCGACCGAAGCCTAACCTCAATATTGCTCACCTTATTATACCACTTCACACATACGGGAGATAGAACGCAGGCACCTATGATCGAAGACAGCTAATCTTTTCATGTCTTTGTTGTTAGTTAGGTATCTTCATCAATTCTGTCTTCTCTGTTAGCTGTTTCTTCGGCCAACTTGCTGGTTTTCATCTGCGTGATACTGGGCATAAACCCTTCGCGAAGTCTATATCATCTAGAGTCTTCTTGCAAGCTCAACATGTTCTTGTCTTCGCGTTCGCTGCTTGATCTGGTTCACCACAATCACAAGCATCATCTGTGACAGTGGGCAGCTGCTTCTTCTTACTCCTGTCTTCACTTCAAAGTTGAACTGCTGAGTTTTCAGCTGGGAAGCATTTGACATGTGTCTGTTCTTTTTTCCTTCACGTTCCCAGTGGGACATAGGGCCTCAAGCTAGTGACTTGAAGTTTCTGTAGCAGTGTTTAATTTTACAGGATGGGGTTGCTGGCTCCATGCCCAACCTTTCCTCTTTACCAGCATTATTTCTGGCTTGCGAGGTAAAGGAGTGAGTTCGTGGCCGGGGATGGAACCCTAGGCCATGTGCACAGTCGGCGAGCATCCTAACCGCTATACCACCGACGCACATGTGTCTGTTAATATTACGTAATTAAATAGCAAAATGAGAAGGCATAAAAGTGAATGTAACACTTTCATTACTAATCAACATCAGTCAGAAAATCATTGAAAACCAAGAAGCGTGTTATACCTGTTTCGTCCCAACCTAAGGTTCTTCATCAGCACTCACTCATGATCTCACCGGAGACCGGTTATGAGCCTGTTTACTATTCAGCCAATGGTTTGAAATTCAATAATCTAAGAGTCTAAACTGCTGCTAATTCGCGTCCTCTGTTCGATTCCCAATTAGATCGTAGGATGCTTCCTGCTGAAAAGTCCTAAAATAAGTCGAAATAGATTTCTAGTACTCTCTGGTTTTCACCTATTCTCAAAATAATATCACTTCATCATTTCATTTAAATTTAAACATTAATGGAACTTTATTAAAATTTATCCAACTGTTTCTTATCGGTCAGGTGAAATTGCAGTCGCCTATTCTGATCGTGTTGTTCGTCTCTATTCATGGAGTTCATATGAAACTCAAAAAAATTCAACAAAATCATCATCATCATCATCGTCTTCAACCTGTCCAGATTCTTCATCAAATTTAGGTGAATTCATTCTATTAATTAAATGGGAATTAGCTGGTCAGGTAAGTTGAAATAGATTCATGTTGGACTCATACGTTTTTAAAGGTGTTATGTAATGATTAATAAAGCATAGGTGTGCGCCTATGGTGTTTCAGTGGTAGAATGCTCACCAGCTACACAGGAGCTATGGATTCGAGTCCCCGCCGACGCACTCCTAACCCTCACCCAGTTAGTAGTAGGCCCTCACCTCTACTGAAGCCATAGAGCTTAAATAGCTTGATGTCCTATCTATCGTTCGGAGTGTATCGAATCAATATAAACTGCTCCAGGTGGGATTTTTATTCCAAGTTTAGTGACATTTTCTGTCTAGTCGGAATTCAGTCTGCATCGAACAAAGGACTAAATCCATAACATTCACTACTGATTAGCGTCCAATCAAAGCATCTATTTGAGTCTTACAGGAGGTCAATCGCAAGTCTGAATACCTCAGTGCCCCAGTGTCTCTGACTGCAGTATTGGGTGACTTGGACTGGAGTCTTTCGGGGGGACATGAGTTCCTCCAAGATTGCAGATGCTCAGGAAGGTTTCGTGTGCTTTTGGAAGTGTGTGGGTGGTTGTTACTTCCCGGCTGCCCACACCGTGGAATATGGTTGATTGATTCTTTGGGTACCTGAAACAGAAAGAGGGTTAGTGTTGCGTGACCACAGAGCCCAGGGGGCAACTGCATGAGACCAGCCGGTCACACACAGCCTGTATGAACTGGTTTCTTGGTTTGGTTCCGTATTAGTAAACTTACCGCCGCCGGTTACGGACCACCGTAGGTGGGGTAAGTCGGGATGTACAATTTCTGCGGTCGACCTTTTCTAACCCCCTCTCTCCCCAGGGTGAAGAGACAGCATCGCTGGCTGGCATGCTGGTCATTTGAAGAAAACACCTCACTGCTGTTACATCCCTGTTTTCCAGCAGTACGACTTCGCCCTCAGACCCCCAGCATAGTGTAAGAAAGATTCTTTCACTGTCCCGGTAACTGCTTGTAGTCTAATCGCTATCCTAACAACCTTCCTGGCATGGTAGGACCTGCAGGAAAATGGTTCCAGCCAGTGCAGCTTGTTAGATCATCGCGATGTGCAAGCTCGACCACCAGGAGATACACCTTTCTGACTGGTGGGTGAGTGCCAACAAGCACAAAACCTAGGTCCAAGGTTGATTGCTTTCAGACATCTAATATTAAGAAGCCTCTATATAGGAAGCATATCAGTTTACTTGAATCTAGTGTACTGTCATTTTTCAACATTCTTTCAATCCTACTATGATTTCGATGATGAGTCACAATGACTATGAATTAACAAGCTAGAAGTTTGAGCAATAGTGCATCTCAATTCAAGTCACCTTACTTCTGAAAACATGCGTATACAATTACATAAACTCTCTGCGTGTAATAAAACCAAATGAATTCAGATTTATGGAAAAACAAATGTAATAATTTAAAAAAATTCGTAGATCATGGAGGATACAAATAAGTCCACTTCATATTAAGGATTGTACTGAAGATATCTTCTTGGAAGGACAACGGAAAGCTGCGGAATTAAATCATCCAGCTCAGAGAATGCAACCACATCAAGAAATATATATATATATATATATATATATATATATAATAGAGTCATAAAGTGGAACAGCGCGAACTGTGTCTGAAAGCCATAGACCTAGATTTCTAACTTGTTGGTACCCGCCAGCAAGACGTATCTGCAACCTTATGGGGATTGATATCCTCTCAGATATTTAAAACCGCCGTTCTACCCGTTACAACAGTCAAACAAGACATTACCACTGAGTTATTCAAGTCTGATTGGAACAAAGTGAACTGCTTATTACTATATACATCCTTTACTGGGGTACACGGCAGCTTTAAATAGTAAATTTCCTAGCGCAGTCTGTAGAATAGAACTGGAAAGAAAATGATGGACTTAATACTCATGCTGAAGCAGACTTCTGTGTTGTCGTACTGTGTTTTACAATGGTTAGATTTATGCTTCAGTTGTTAGTGATAGTTTGTTTAAAAAACCGTTAAAAATCAATAAATTCAAGGTGATATGTGATTTAAATACAAACGCACATATACATCATATATTGTACTCAAGTAGGTGTTTCATCACTTTTTCTGTTTTCTTATTCTTATTCTTCTTAGATTAATCGAATTGATACATGTTTGACACAAAAGCATGGTCTAATGGTAAGTATTTTTATTGAGAATATCAAATAGTTAATTTTATCACTTATTTATTTATTGATTTACTTATTCCTTGAGTTTTAAGTGGAAACCACGGCTTCAATGGCACATTCATCCATTCCACTTGCATCCAGGTGAGGGCTTACGGCGAGTTGTCACCTGAAGTGGTGACGACTATTGGTGTCCGTCAGGAATGCTCATTATCCCCATTTCTATTCATTTTCAACATAGATGTACTAATGGACTTAACCCTGAGTGACTTCAGCGACTCATGGATTCACTTGCCTACCACCAGGGAATAATCTCGTTGACTTATAATATGCAGACGATATAGTTCTTCTAGGCGAGGATGCTGACAAAATAGAACAGAGTCTTCTGAACACCTTGAACTGAGCTGCAATCTACGAATGTTAGGCATGCGATTCGCTCCCTCCGCCAAATGTAAGATGATGGTACAGGACTGAACTACACTAACTCCTAGTTTAGAAATAAGGGGTGAGTTTATCGCTGATGAGATCTCAGAATGCATACAGAGTGCTAGTTTCGCATATGCCAGTTTACGCCGTCTCTGGCTTAGTAGACGTGATAGCCGGCTGGTTATCGACCATAGGGCGGGTGTACTGCTCAGAAGTCCGCTCCGTCCTCCTTTATGGCTTTCAGTGAGACCTGACCATTGAGAGCGGAAGACATGAAAAGATTAGCTGTCTTCTATCATAGGTGCCTGCGTTCTATCTCCCGTATGTGTGAAGTGGTATAATAAGGTGAGCAATATTGAGGTTAGGCTTCGGTCGAGTGCTAGGTAAAGAGGGGAAATCAATCGACGAAGTTGTGAAGTTACACCGACTGAGATGGTTAGGACATGTGTTGCACATGAATGCCTAGCTATCGCCTTCCTCGACCTACGGGGGATGTTAGCTGACTGACATAGGGTCAGGTTGGAAAAGAGTTAGCCAGTGGTGGTCAAACGAAAACATGGCTTCATCGGTCGAGGAAATCCACAACAGTTAGTTTAAGCCAGCCAGTCACGTAGGAATATGTAGACTTCCTGGCTGACTGACTGGTTGGGGTCCTCGGGACGGTAAACATCAATGGGGCTGGAGACAATTGGTGATATGGCTCCAAATCGTTCTCAATGGCTAGCGCAGATGCATCCACTCCTTGTGACCTATGATTTCCAATGAAACTCTATTGTTATTCGTTATTACTATTCCTTTTGTCTCACACCTCTGTTTACTGTCTCTAATATCTATTTCCTTTTACTTATTATATATATTATGCATTTCTTCTACTTTGTTCTGTTGGTTTGTGTGCTACAAGAAGGGAGTGTGGCGACTCGAAGTGCTGCACATCAGTGCAAGGTTCTTTGTCGAAAACAGACAGACTTGCTTCTCTCTGTCATCACTTTCAGTTGGCTGCACAACTGCCTACAGCTTGTAAGTTTTCCCCTTCAGATGATCTCCTCCGTGTCATTCTCAGATACGAGATGTTCGACTATCGACCAAAGGGTGGGTGTACTGCTCATCAGTCCGCTCCGTCCTCCTTTATGGTTGTGAGACCTGGCCACTGAGAGTGGAAGACATGAAAAGACTAGCTGTCTTTGATCATAGGTGCCTGCGCTCTATTTCCCGTGTAAAGTGGCATAATAAGGTGAGCAACATTGAGGTTAGGCGTAGAGTTCTAGGTAAACAGGGGAAATCAATCGACGAAGTCGTGAAGCTACAAAGACTGAGATGGTTAGGACATGTGTTACGTATGCCAAGTCATCGCCTCCCTCGACGAGCAATGTTAGCGGATATAGGGTCAGGCTGGAAAAAAGCTAGCGGAGGTCAAAAAAAAAACTTGGCACCAGTCAATGAAATCCACAACAGTTGGTCTAAGCCACGTAGGAAGGTGTAGACTTCCAGGCTGGGGTCCTCGGACGGTAAAAATCTATGGTTGGAAACAATTGGTGACATGGCTCAAAATCGTTCTCAGTGGCTGGCTAAGATGCATCCACTCCTTGTGACTGTTGATCTCCAATGAAACTGTTTTGTTCTTCGTTATTACTCCTTTGTCTCACACCTCTGTTTACTGTCTATTATGCTTTTCTTGTACTTTCTTCTCTTGCTTCGCGTGCTACACGGAGTGTGGCGACTTGAACTGGTGCACATGTGTGCAAAGTTCTATGTCGAAAACAGACAGACAGACAGATACCCAACTCATTAATCCATGTTTGTTAGGAGTCCATTCGAGATCCTGTCGTATGATAAGTCATTTGAAAATCTCCTCATTTTGTTTCGAATCGATATGTTTTCCCTACTGTAAATGTTTGTGAAAATAGGTGTCTGACTGACTGGTTCACTTACTGCCAGAGTTCCTTGATGTTTATTCTTTTTAGCCATCCATCTGGTTTTCAGAATCAAGCCAAAGGTATTAGTAATTAGTATTTCTAGGAATTTTGATTGTGTGTGTGTATGCATGTGTGTCTATTGGCGAAAGGATTCGAACAGTAGATAAATAGATCAAATTTAGAATTTTGTACGGAAGTGAAAGTAAGGGATTATTTAAATGGAAAAAGCGCAGTTCTACTCAAATATTATTTTAAGGTAAATTTGTCAAATCCAATTGCAATATACTGTTAGGACGAACATTTACTCAAACCTGTTTTTTGGTTCAAGTACCACTAAATTAGTATTTAATTGGTGGAGGGTGACTAGCAGTGGAATCCAGGATACGCATTTCGTCCGATTTGGGACTCGTCATCTGGATGTACCTGCATTTCTCAGTGAGTGATGATGTTCCCACCGAGACTCAAACCCAGTGCCCATAGTGTCAAACCCCAAAGCGTTATCCACTAGACCACTTGGGACACGACAGCCACCTCTTGTGCAACGGGACATGTCAACCTGAGACCGAGCACTTCGGTTCAATCAATCGATGGGAAAATCAAAAATTCAATTAAAGTACCACTAAAGATTATATTTGGAGAAGTGATCGTTGGGTTGTGCGAATTATAATTCTTCACTGGATGGGAATGGTCGAGTTGAACGTTGGGTGAGGTTCAACGTTATCTGTAAAAGTATCCGAATGAATGACCACTTAGTAGAAAGTGTGTAGAATGACTAAGTGAATAAGAGAAGAGGTGCAATGGTAAACACTTGCACACTTTTGTTTTGCACGCTAATTACATTTGATCATGGACCGACTACAGTGTGAGAACCAGTGAAAACCAGGTATTTTTGGATAGCTACTTTGTCCTAGTTTGGAACTCTTCAGTATTAGAAGACACTCATGACTTTACTTACTGGAGATCATCGAACCCAGAATCTTAAGATTACATGGCTGGTTTTGTTGGCCATTCAGTCCCTAGGACAGAATCCAGTAGTCAATCAATTCCTACTTCTGTTAATTCGCAATATACATAGACTGATCGCCAACCAGTGTCATCAGCGTGTGTCTGTGCCCTCACACCATCAGCCCAACGGGTTGATCTCCGACGAGTTCTCAGCACGGACACAGAGGGCTAGTTTCTCATATGCCAGTATACACCCTCTGTGGCGTAGGCGTGATATCCGGTTGGCTGTCGACCAAAGGGCGGGTGTACTGCTCAGAAGCCCGCTCCGTCCTCCTTTATGGCTTTCAGTGAGACCTGACCATTGAGAGTGGAAGACATGAAAAGCCTCGCTGGCTGTCTTTGATCATAGGTGCCTGCGTTCTGTCTCCCGTGTGTGTTAAGTGGTTTAACAGGGTGAGCAATATTGAGGTTAGGTATCGAGTTCTAGGCAAGGAGGGGAAAATCAACAATTGATGCTGTGAAATTACATCTACTGAGATGGTTAGGATATGTGTTACGCGTGCATGTCTAGCCATCGCTTTCCCTAACGGAAAGTGTTAGCTGACTGACAGGGTCAGGTTGTAAGAGAGCTATTTGTGGTCAAACCAAAACATGGCTTCATCAGTCAATGAAATACACAACACTTAGTTTAAGCCAGCCAGTCATGTATTTTTTTTATTTACAGCTTGATTCCACACTGTATTTTTGGTACAAGTATGGAATTTTCTGCATGGATATCGGTAGGCTAAATTTTGCAGTCCGACCATAGATATCAGGTGTGTGCCGGCAGGGGATCGAACTTCGAACCATGTGCATGGTCGGCGAGAGTCCTAACCACTGTGCCACCGACGCTAGGTGTAGACTTCCTGACTGACTGGTTGGGGTCCTCGGGACGGTAAACACTAATGGAGGCTGGAATCAATCTGTGATATGTTTCAAAGCTATTGTTCTCAGTGGCTGGGGCAGATGCATACACTTCTTGTGACCTATGATTTCCAATGAAACTATGTTGTTCTTCGTTATTACTATTCCTTTGTCTCACACCTCTGTTTACTGTCTCTATTATGCATTTCTTCTACTTTCTTCTGTTAGTTTGTGTGCTACATGGAGTGTGGCGACTTGAACTGTCGCACATTTGTGCAAAGTTCTGTGTCGAAAACTAACAGACAGACAGTCAGTCGATGTTAGGACATGTGTTACGGATGCCTAGTCATCTCCTTACTCGACGGGTAATGTTAATTTCTTTTCGGAGTACCTGAAGCATTAGTGTTCCGTGACTGTTGAGTTCAGGGGACAACTTTTAGAGGTGAATCACTCTCGGCTTGTTTAAAGTGCTCTTCGAAGCTAAGTCTGTATTGTGATATCACCGCCAGCTTTGGACAGTCACAAAGCTGCGACGTAGAATTTTCGGTGCCAATCTTCTCTGACTAACCACTCCCCAGAGCGTAGGGACAGCATAGCAGGTATGCGGGTCTTCTACTCTTACACCCCTTATCCCCCAGGAATATGACTTCACTCGCAGGCCCTCAACATAGTGTAAACAACTGCTTTCAGTCTAATCTCTATCCAAAAGACATTTTTTTGGCAAAGTAAACCTTCAGGAACATTGGTTCTAGCCAGTGTTGTAGTTCCTTGAGTCATTGCAATGGTATGCAGACTTGACTACGTCTCCAAGGTTAGAGGCTATCAGTTGGATTTTCCATCATACTTGGTAATGATGAGAGTAAGTAAGTATTACAACATTGAGATATTCATATAAGATAGATTTTTCGAACACATCAACTTGAAGGTAGAGGCAATTCAATTCACTTATGATGAATTGGAAAGTCAGAAAGGAGAGCTTCCAATGTTAGATTGCAACGTAAAAAGGAAAAAAGATGGGAAGTTAAACACAGACTAGTGTGTGTTTACAGGAAACCCACATACATTCAAACAGATACTTGGACTTCCGATCATCCCATCCTATGTCAGTAAAAATAGGATTGGTGAAATGTTTAAGTTACAGAGCACAAAAACTAAGTAGTACCAAGGAAAATCTATAGTGGTTGACTCAAATAAGATAAGAATTTTAGAGTATATTTCAGCTATAGCACCCACTATATGCAATTACACATAACCATATAATAGGCTGGATGGGATAAGATGACAGTTTTACAATCTAATGCAACTAACAGGGTAGAGGGAGAGATTGATAACAGACGCTTTGTTTATCGAATCAACCGAGAGTGAATACATGTAATAGGAATGATTCAACATCTGTCCACCCAGAACTCTGGAAAATTCTACTACCCCAACGACGACAAATAGGAGAGAATAAAGAAAACTATAAAACTCAAGTTTCGAAGTCGTGTGTGATTATAATTGATGAAATGATTATGAACAATAAATAAATTTTGTTCGAAACTGTGTCATCCAGTAAATAATAATACTGTTTCACTGACTGTGTGATACATCTAATAAACAAAATAATATGGAATTTGATAGTGTGAAATATTCTTTTCAATAATTTCTTCCCTCCAGGTTCTTATAATTATTATATTTATATATAATTTTTTCCTTCACGTTCCCAGTGGAACATAGGGCTTCAAGCTAGTGGCTTGAAGTTTCTGCAGCAGTGTTTAATTTTACAGGATGATATTGCTAGCCTCATGTCTAACCTTTCCTCTTTACCAGAATTACTTCTGGTTTAGCGAGGTAAAGGAGTGTGGCGGTGACCGGGGATCGAACTCCGGACCATGTGTATGGTTGGCGAGCGTCCTAACAGCTGTGCCACCGACAATTATAAAATATAATATTTGTGTTCGTTACAATAAAGGCCAGTTATGCGGCGGATACATTTTTAACGTAGAATAACAGATTAGTTATGGGGTGTCAAAATAAATAGTCATATTTGTGTGACAAACGTGCTAGGCTGAAATGGATTAGAAATATTGTAAAACGGGAGACAATGGTGGTGATTTTTTAATCATAATAGAATTGCAGAGTGTGGGGTAGGAAAATTGACAAATCTGTTCAAGGTTATAAAAGGTGTCAGGTGAGTGGCTAGTACAAAGTGGTCTGAGTTAAACAGTGGAGATAGTAAGGCTGCAATGAGAGGTTCATAACGAATATCTTAAATGAAACAGGTGGAGGCATATATTGAGAAAACAGATAATATCACTAATAATAAGTCCGTATAAATGAAAATTCGATAGTATTGAGGGAATGTTTGCATAAAGGGCATAAATTATGACGAATAATAACTTCAATAATAATATTTTTAATTATAAGCAAACTAAAAAATAAGAAAGAAAAACCAAGAGGGTTAAGGGTAAGGAGAACTCTGGGTGAGAAGAAAAATCTTCAATCCAAGTTTGGCCACGGTAGGAACAGCGTCTGGACGTGTTCATTTTGGATACAAACTCCGGTTTAGTCGATCTTATTGCAACAGCTTCAGCTATGTGTAGGAGACGTAAGCTAACTGTACGTGATAACGACTTCGGAATTCGGTATATAACCCTGAAAGCTGTGTTGACATCGATACGATGTCCATTATCGACCAAGTGTGACAGGATTGAGCTTTTTATGCACTTAATTTCCCTTTGCTGAACCAAGCTGGTAAATGTTCTCGAGCAGGTAGACGAACTTGCCTAATCATGCGCCCTATATAACTTAAACCACAGGAACCGCTGAAATGGTATATGCATGAAGAAGAGCTAAGGTTAGGTAAGACATCTTTGAGTTGCTAAGTGAACATTGAACGGCTAGTGAAGGAAAGACAGAGAAGAAAGTTTTCTTGATCGCCCTGGTTAAACGTTGAGATAGAATCTCCACAGGAGTATCTCCCTTGAATTGGAGACGTAAAAACGAAGGCTTTTTCTCCACAGTTGCCAGTTCATGTTTACAACTATTATAACCTATGTTGGCTTTAATGAACTTCTCTGGATATCCATTCTCTCTCTTAGAATGTGTCGGATGACCTGGAGTTCTTTCTCTATTCACTCTTCGGAACAAATAGACCTCGCTCTGAATTCTAAGCACCTGATTAGATTACGTTTGTATTTCATCGGTACGAAGCTAAGGAAATGTGTATACTGAGCTTTGGTCTCTAGGTTTCTAAATATGGTTCTTTTGATGGAACCATCCTCTTTTCTCGTTAGTAGGACGTCGAGGAAGTGTAAAAAGTCGTTGTATTCTCCTTTGTAGGTGAAATGGACCGCTGGGTGAGCATTATTGAAGTTGTTCAAAATCAAATCACTATTAAACCCTTCATCGTACACTACAAAAGTGTCATCCATGTAACGACAATACATTTCCATTTTCACTATTTCCTCTTTCAACGGACTATTTTCTAGTTTTGCTAGAAATGTATTCGCGAAAATAGGTCCCACTGGGGATCCCATGGCCACTCCATCAACCTGTCTGTATATTTCATTATGAAATAGGAACTGAACATTCCTTGTGCATTTAACAAGTAGTTGTTTCAGATTACTGATAGGAATATTAGTGCACAATTTCTTTTCTATAATCTGTTCACAGATATAATCGATGGTTGCCATTAGAGGCACATTCGTGAAGAGAAATTATTGAAAATAAATATTCTTCGTTCAGATTGACATTTAATTCATAATATGGAATTACTTACTACCACCAGTGCCCAAGTTTTACACATATTTTAAGATATTCACATGAACTTTTATTTTCTGTTGGACTTTGTTTATATTAGACAGTTGGAGGCAATCGGACACAGGAAGCCTTGGACACCACCTAGGTTTCGTGCTAGTTGGCACTCGTCAGTCAGCAAGGCATATCTGCAACCTTGAAGGAACTCATATCCCTCATCTGAGATTCGAACCCGCATCACCCAGTGGGGCTGCAGTCAGAGACGTTACCACTGAGCTATTCGGGCTCGGACTTTGTTTATGTCAGTTCATATTCCATTTACTTCATCTCTTTTCTTTCTTCTTCTTCTCTTGTTTGATTCCAACAGCTGATCGCTTCACAACCAAGTGGTGGTTTTGCTCATTTACATAGAAAATTTGAAAAATATCATAATAATGTTGCGTAAGTTGTTGTTGTTGTTTTTGTTGTTGAAGTACATTTGATCTGACCGCAATGACTGGTACATAAATCTTATTAGTTCTATTTATGTCCTTCTCTTTCAATGTACTAAACGGTATGATTTACCAAATACCTACAATGTAAGACCAAAGAAATGCACTCGTGACTGACTGATCTACTGGTTTCAACATAGAACTCCTTACCGATGTGCATCAGTTCGAGTCACCACACTTCACTCAGCACACAAAGCCAGAGAAAAAAATAAAAAGAAATGGAAAAAAACATTAAACAGAGATATGAGGCAAAAAGAATAGTAATATCGAAGAACAATATAGTTTTATTGGGTATTGTAAGTCACAAGGAGTGGATGCATCTTCGCAAGCCATTGTGAACGATAGCTTTGAACCATATCACCGATTGTTTCCAGCCTCTTTTGGTGTTTACCGTCCCGAGGAACCCAACCAGTCAGTCAGTCAGGAAGTCTACATCTTCCTACGTCGCTGGCTCAAACCAGCCGTTGTGGATTTCATTGACAGATGTAGCGATGTTTTGGTTTGACCACCACTAGCTCCTTTCCAACCTGACGCTATGTCAGTCAGCTAACATCCCCCGTCAGTCGAGGAAGGCGATGACTAGGCATGCACGCGTAACACATGTCCTAACCATCTCAGTAGATGTAATTTCACAGCCTCGTCGATTGATTTCCCCTCCTTACCTAGAACTCTACGCCTAATCTCAATATTGCTCATCTTATTATACCACTTCACACATACGGGAGATAGAACGCTGGCACCTATGATCAAAGACAGCCAGCCAGGTTTTGCATGTGCTCCACTCTCAATGGCCAGGTCTCACTGGCAGCCGTAAAGGAGGACTGTGCGGACTTCTGCGCTGAGCAGTACACATTGACATAAGCATTCGACTTACAGCCTCAGTGCAATTAATTTAGTTTAAGCTACTGGAGCAGTATCATCAACTGTCATACAATCATTGAGGAGTGGCTTATAATCCTGGTGTAACGGCAGAAGACAAGAGACTTGATAAAATAATGTTTATTTTGGTACTTGGTATCTCAATATAACGAAATTATGCTCACATTTGCAAATGGTCATTCGCCGCTGCACAAATCTTTCGTGTTGTACTACTTCTGCCCTTCATATTGTATTTCTTTGTCTTCTTTTTGTGTCTCCGATGTTTTACCGGAGTGCTGAATCATTTTTTTCTGTTTAACGTCAAATCTGTCTCTCCGCTATTAGATATTTTCATGCTGATGAACGTCTCTTGATGTATACTACTGAATAATCGTATCAGTAGCACAGGCCACACTGATACATGAAATATCTGTACTGGGTAACCCGTGGTTAAATAATAAACAAACAAGCGAAAAAACAACTCATTTGGTGGTTTGTAAGGACTAATCTACTTGCCTTCTTCTTAATTTTATCTTCCCATTAAGTCTCAGTCAGACTGCTTCAAATTAAATAGCTTCCTGTCGGACATCAGTCAGGGGTCTAAACTAAATGGCCTCATGCTGAATCCCTCAAAATGCCAGACTATTGACTTCTCTTTTAGGCATGAACGAGATCTACAAACACTAGTAAGTACTCATGAAGCCTGTAGAATTGAGGAGACTAAAATTGAAACTAAGTCTAATGCGAAATACCTTGGACTAGTTTTATCTTCCGACCTTACTTGGTCATCTCATATCCTAACGATTTCTAAGAAAGTGTTCTGTCTAACCTACTACATTAAGAAACTTTGACTATCTGGAATCACCCAGTCTCTACTTTCACAATATGTCAACTCTCGTATCTTACCTACTCTACTTTACTGCTCCCCATTAGTCTTTCCTGGGTTACTGAGAAAGAACTATACCATCCTGAGAAGGATGTTGAAGGACTAGGACTAGTGGTGTAAAACTCAGTCAGCTCGTCACTACATTAGTAGATAAGCATCTGAATACATGCGAGAAATGGTCTAAAACCATACTCTCTGACCCTTAACACCCCCTCTATTCCCAACTCTCTCCTTGCATCTCATCAGGTAGAACCAGAAATCAGTACAAAATAATATATGCTCTTACAACCAAGTATAGGAACTCAACGATACCATATTTGGCCAGCCCGTGTTCTAAGTGACAGAGACAATCTTAAGCGTGAGACCTATGACTTGCTTTGTTGTTAATAACATAATTTTGGCCCTTCTATTTCTCCCTTATACTCTCTTATTTGTACTCCATAGTGAACAACCTTCTTAAACTTACTTAGCTACCTAAAATAACTATCACTGGCCTACTTCTTTATTCTTCATTCTATTCCTTCTTTTGTGTATCTACTGGTCCTGACTATATTAGCACTATGAGTATCACAAAATTGTCCTGTCATTAACCATCATGTAATATTGGTTTTGTGATTGCTTTTTTTGTTCGGCAATATTAAAACTAACAATCTTGGTTGTGAACTCCGTTATCACCATCCTAAAATTTTTGTACTTATCATGATTACTCACACTGTGGTGAGAGCAGGCTGCTTGCGAATTGGTAGACATTAATCTACGTCAATGTCTAGGTCACTAATATTGTCCGTGAGAAAATATGAACAAGGCTAATTCAACAACCAATCACAGCAGACTTAACGTGGGCAAATATGATTCGCAGATAGATGGTTCCACTTTTCGAGGTTACCCGAAACAGCTAATCAGAAGTCTGCGTTTGTCTGCTCAACTTCCGAGAAACAACGAATCAGAAGACTGCGTTTGTGTACTTGAATAAGCTATAATAATTTACAGGAAATATATATAAATACGTGTTGATTTCCGTAATAAAACGATCTGTTTCCGGCCCTTGTTTTCTGTTGTTACAACACTACCACAACAAACACTGCATTAGTGCTGACAATAAAAGCAACAACCTAAAATGTTTATTTTATGCTTGTTTAGTGTAGTTCAATCAAATTAACTGATCGTCTTGGCTATAAAAATTCTTAAGAACATCTCATAATTTCTTGTATGATTATAGCTGTTACTTTTGCAATTAATAGTGGTCTCTGAGCTGGTTGGTTTAGTTGCGGAGCTTTCGTCGTCTTTCTGGACGACATCTTCGGCGCAGTATTTAGCATAAATTCAAGTGATTTAAAATCTCCATGAATGATGATACAATTGCGTCTCCTGGTGACGCAACCAACAATCTTTACATATGTATTGACCGTTTTCTATTGATTGAGATTTTAAACTTTCTGGTCACCTGATTTGCTTTTTGTTAGTTGATATATTTCATCCCAATCAATAGAAAACGATCAATACATATGTAAAGATTGTTGGTTGCGTCACCAGGAGACGCAATTGTATCATCATTCATGGAGATTTTAAATCATTTGACTTTATGCTAAATATTGCGCTGAAGGGAGATGTCGTTCAGGAAGACGACGAAAGCTCCACAACTAAACCAACCAGCTCAGAGACCACTATTAATTGCAAATCATCCACCTGAGTTACAAATCTTTTTTTCTATTATAGCTGTTACTGTTCACCACGCATACACATATCATAGAGCTCCCACCACTACCAAATACTGAAATATTTTTCATTATTGGTGTTTATCTTTCATTCTACTTGGTATTTTTATTTGCCTTTTTTTCGTTATTTTTTGTGTTTCTTTTTGGTTTTTGTTGTGTTTTTTTTATATTCATGTTTTTTGTAATACTCCTTTTAAATGTGCGATGAAATTAGATGGAATATTGTAGATGTGTGCTGAAAATTCCACACTGTACCTCTAGTACTCTTTCTGGAATAAAAGCAAAAATTATTATTCTGATGTTTTAATTGACTTTTATGTTTTATTTCATCTTTTTTTTAAAAAAAATTTGAACACAGACCTACACTGACTTACTATCCTCCACGTGTAATAAGCTCAAATAATTTACAAACACGTACATGGCTTGTTGGTAATGTAATGAATAATTATTCCTCATCTACTACTACTACTGGTGATCATGACAATGACACCACGTCTTCTTCGTGTCTTATCTGTTTATGTACAGCTGATGGAAATATGCTTCTTATTGATCCAACACGTGATAACGATACAGATTTAGTGTTGTGGTCTATTCAAGTGCATACACGCAGTGAATTATTTTCTCTGGGTAAAATAAAGTTGACTGTAAGTGTTTGTTTCTCTTTGTTGACGTTATTGTTGTTTTTGTGTGTGTGAGAGTGCTTATTGAGTTCTCTTATTATATATTTCTTTTTTACGTCATTTGGTTAGCAATTGAATTTAAGGCGCCTACGCACGCATCTCCACCTTCCATGGTGTGGAGAATTGGTTCATATCAGCATAGGCGCTCGGTTTTCAGCCGGTTAGTTTTTGGGTTCGAGCCCTGCCTAGTTCAGCCTGGATAGTGTCACTCGAGCCCTCACACACACGGTGAGGGCAGCTATCCCCAGCTTGGTGAATAATAAATCTGTTCCGGGTAGTTAGGCTCAAACAAATAAACAAACAGTGTGTACCATCCATAGTTCCGAAATAAATCTTGGACTAAAATAAGTAGATCTAAGCGAATTAATTTAGTAAACAGAAAGATTGAGCAGCAAAGAAATATTTACTTTTCAATTAGATCCTCATCTCACTCTGGCTCTACTCTAATACACATATACATGGCATTTTTATTACAATACACAACAGTTTACCAATCAAGTGGCACTGATATGTTTGTTAACAATAATTAGTCAGTGTCAAAATGTCAAGCAGTGGGGTGATAATTAACGAAGAAAATCAATGCACCCTGTTAAAAGGTAGAAATGGTTAGGATAAATTAATTCTACAAGGATAACACGTAATTAAAGATGAAGTGGTCAGAAAAATCAAATAATTTGGACAATTATAATTTTAAAGGTTTCAGGGGAGGGGGGCGAAGTAGTCCGGTTTATACAATCATGTAACGATGGCCAAGGTAAGGAAAGTGGCTGTACAAATTTCTTCTGAACACACAGGTGTTTGGCTTCTTCAGGTGGATTCCTATTGCTTCAGCTGCTGTATGCAGAAGACGAACTCGTAGAGCGAAATTACGATTAGTAGGAATGCGATAAATAATTTTAAAGGCTGTATTAACATCAACCCTATGCTCACTATCTACAAGGTGTGTTAAAACAGAGCTACCTACGAATAGATCTTGTTTTTCCCTTGCTTAACCATGCAGGATGTTCGGAAATACGACGATGATGAACCTGCCTAATTGTACGCCCGATGTAGCTGGCTCCGCAGCTGCAGTCAAACTTGTAGATACACAGAGGAGGCAAATTTAGGAAGTTTATCCTCATTTCTCGAACATAGAATAGAGGGTGGTTGTGAAGTGACAACGTACCTCTGCTGCAATGGAAGCTCCTTTAGCTGCATTCTTGAGGCACTGTGTTATTATTCCGCTGTTGTTGTCACCGAGGAACTGCAGTTTTATGAGCATTGGTTTTTTCGGAACTATTGCCATACTGACTCTCCTTAGTGCTGAATTCATATTTTTCTCAATAAACTTATCCGGATAACCATTTTTTCTAAGTAATTCTCTAATAATCTTAAGCTCCTCATTGAAGCGGTCGTCTGAACAGATTAACCTATATCTATGAACCAGACACTTTACCAGGCTACGTTTATATTTCAAAGGTACAAAACTCAAAAAATGAGTGTACTGACCTGTTGTTGTAGGTTTCCTATACACACTCCTGCTTCTAAGTGCGCCACCTTCTTTTCTTGCCATGAAGACGTCTAGGAATAAGATATTGTCATTACTTTCTTTCTCTATGGTAAAGTTTATTGCTGAATGTGCATCATTAAACTTGTCAAGGATGTTCATTGCATCATTCTCGTCTTTCATAACCAGAAATGTATCATCCATATATATATCGACAGTAGAAATCCAAGCCATTAATTACTCCTTTCAGTGTTCCATTCTCTAACTTAGCGAGGAAAAAATCAGCTAGGATTGAACCTAATGGGGAATCCATAGATACACCATCAGCTTATCCGTAATATTCCTTATTGAATAAGAAATAAACATTCATTGTACATCTTAAAATAAATTCCTTCAAGGTGTTGTGTATCGTAATAAAAATTCTGTGCGTCTCATATTAGATTAGAACCAGAGTGAGATGAGGATCTAATTGAAAAGTAAATATTTCTTTCTTCGATCGCTCAATCTTTCTGTTTTCTAAATGTCTAAATGGGAATTTTTTCTATATTGAAATTAACTTAATATTAAGTGAATTATTGTATAGCCTCACTGGTCATGCTATAAGGTTGATGCTATGAGACGTGTTGCTAAGTTTGTATACAATTGGTGGATGGTGGCTAGCAGTGGAATCCAGGATGCGCATTTCGTCCGACTTGGGACTCGTCAGCCGGATGTACCTGCATTTCTCAGTGAGTAATGATGTTCCCACCGAGGCTCGAACCCAGTGCCCATAGTGTTGCTAAGTTATTCAAAAGACAAGATGATGAGTGAACTAGTATTTGGACACATTCATCGCATTGAATTCGAGTAGAGTACTCTAGCAACACGTCAATGACCTACAGTTATGCTTTGGATGTTTTGAGTTTTGCTACAACCAGAACGCGCATCCGACCACAAGTTTGGACACAAATTCGATCTCCTCTTCCTCAAAGTCTGTAGTTCAGTCACACTACAGCTGGTTAAGTCCTAAGATCTTTACCTCAAATAACCTTAACCTTTTATTCTTGTTATTAGTATTGTTCCCTTAGGTTCCTAGTGGAACATAGGGCTTCAACTGCACGTCTCCATTTGCCACTTCTGTCTTCTGCTGTACGTTTCACCTGCATCCATGTTAGTGCATACTCTTTCAACTCCTCTTAACACGATCGCCTCCATATCACCCTTGCACTGACGTCCCACTCGCCGCGTGCTTCCCTTTCGGCCTGGTTCCACTCGAGCAATGGCCTGACGTGCGTGCGATATCACTCAGCGGCCTCCTCAGCAAGTGTCCAATCCATCTCCACTTTCTTCTGCATATTATTTGGACGATTGGCTCTTGTTTTCTTTGTTCCCATAGTTTCTTGTTGGTGATTCTTTCCGGCCCAGCCATCTGATCTTCAGTATAGAGCCAGCGAAGACAGTTGTTAATAAAGGTCTGCAACAGACTGTTGGAAATATTCTTTGTGACCCACCCCCAAGTTTCTGATCCGTATAGAAAAACTGACTGACTTGACGTTGTTTGTATTGAGAATCCGACTGAATTTTGTTGTTGGTGCTGAGTTGAGTGACGAAGATTTCCAGATTGATTTCAGGTTGATGAATGTGTTTCTCGCCGATGTGTTCCCAATTCTCGCTCGATTTGACATCCTCGTCAGTTCCTGCTGTAGTTGAAACAATGCTCCCTAGATGATAAGTGAATGAAGTAACCTCTTTCAAATCCCTCCTGTTGATGGTGATTGGCGCTGGATGTTTCTGTTGTTGTTGTTGGTTGGTTATTTTCATAACCTCCGTCTTGTCTATGTTCACTTGGATTCCTGTCTTCACCAGCTGCTTCTTCGACCAGTTTGTCGGTCGGTTTTCGCTGGTAAGTCTTCGATTTTGTGACAGTGACATCAAACATAAATCATCCACGCGCGAAATCCAGAACTTCTAGGTTCTTCGCACCAGTCGGTCCAGGATATCCCTGTCTGCTTGTTATTATTAGAAGAGTACATTCTTAAATAACTGAGTCTTTTTCGATTTCTATTTTGCTGTCAGTACTTGCATGTCAAGTAGTGTGGGCAATTAAGTATACTGCGTTTAGTGAGGTTGGTATAGTGCAGTAATTCATATCAACAGTACAATCAGCACCGTACGTTAATATTCGTTGATATCGGGTGCACCCGGATTTCAGCGAATGGTGTGGTGTTTCTACAGAAACTCGTCTCAAACGCCAAAGCGCTATTCGTTAGACTAATAAGCCACAACTAGTTTTATTTATTTGCAAGCAATTGATACAGAAACCTTCACTTACCGACGATATCTGTTGCTAGTGGGACTAAATTTTGAATTCACGAAACTCTGTTACTTCTGAGTGTTAATCAAATGATTTCATGAAAACATATATGGCTGTTCTGTAACGAGTGTATTCTTCTATAGAAGACCCAGCTAGTATTTTTTGGGTGCATTGCAGATTTTTTGGGGCAAAAGACTTCGGGCAAATCTACTTACGTGGGACAGTGCCCAAAAAGTCTGCTCCAAAGAGTCTGCGCGCGCTCCTTGAATAAGACGTGCTTTTCCTCCCTAACCGGAAATATCCAATTTTGTGAATTATTCGTTTGGGAAACCTGATCTTCCTATCCGGCGAATTTTTATTCAACCATTTCTTCCTCACCGAGCCTGTGTGTGGTACTTCCCGCTGTCTCGAACTACTGCCAAAGCTTCAGGTGCTACTTCTGTAGCAACACCCTCCTCACTCTTTCAAATATACAGGACTTGTGGGTCTGTTACGTGATTGCTGTGAAACCGAATAACCCGAAAGTTACAGGTAAAGTCTAAAGCTTTTACTTAAATACTTTATCCTTCTTTTCTGTGCTCTCTATTGTCTTTTGCTGTAAGTCTATTGGACAAAATAACAGTCTCTTATTATTTAATCACCAGTATTAATTTAGGAGTAAAATGACAATAGATTCTCAACCTAAAATAAGTAATGGGACATCATACTCTGTAGTTACCAGGGCTTCAGCCAAACTAGGCAAACAGGAGAAGGTGATGGACTCACGCATACCGGTCCTGAAGACCAGGGCTAATATTCCCAGCTCGTACAGATTACCCATGTCGCCACAGTCCTACAGTGAAGCTGTGCAAAGTCAGCCAAGTGGATGTGGCTCCACCCCTGTTAACACGACTAGGTTAACAGATCCGAGTGGGAAAATTGCACTAAGTGAGAACTTCATAACACCCATCCCCATGGTAGACCATGAAACAAATAGGAAGGCCAAAAAGAAACGTTCACGACGTCGCAAGACGACAAGAACGCTCCCCAAGAAGACAGACGACTGCAAGGTCTGTGCTTCTGTTGTCGAACAAGCAGACTCTGCTTTCGAATGTAACTTTTGCAACCGATGGGTGCATTGCAGATGCGACAGTGGGGTACCAAAAGCATATTATGACTTTATGCGTAAAAACCCATGCCAATGGT